AGCATCCCCATCACCACATGGAATCTAAAGAAATGAGGCCATTCCTTTCTCCTCACTACACCAAGATAAGCAACAAAGAAGTATGCCATTAGAAACCAGCTTGGTAATCTTCCAATTGCTCCCAGGAAAGGGTATGTCAGAAACTCAAGATCTTCCAAAAAGGGGTGGAGATGATATGCCGTCTCAGCATACATCCAAGTCTCGTGAAGAGGCATCAAATAAGGGAGGCATGCTAAGGTTCTCCACCACCACCTTGGCTTTGTGGTCATCGCAGGGAATCTGTAACTATATGGGACATCTTTTGACGCTCTAGGGGCAAGGGAATATTGGCTTCGCCTTGGTAATTGAGGTATAGCATGCAAAAGGCCACCATATTCACCACCGAAAAGAGGTGATGATGCAGAAGAAAGATCAAGGAAGCTGAATCCTGCAATGACAACTCAACTTTAAAAGGTTAACTAGCTTTTAATTATTTCAACTACTAGAGCCAACAAAAAAATAATTATACTATGAGCTTGTAGAGCTGAGATTTAATGCTCAAGTATCTGTACCACTTTGTTCTCTCTATCATGCTTCTTATAACACAGAATGCTAAAGAACTACATTTGACGTACCATAAACCCTTTGTCCCCTAATCTTTTTAGTTTTTACAGTATTCAAGCTTTGCACATTTGTCTGTTTGAAGTGCATGAGAACAGTAAAAAAAAGTGAGCTTTGCACATTTGTCTGTTTGAAGTGCATGAGAACAGTAAAAAAAAGTGAGCTTTGCACATTTGTCTGTTTGAAGTGCATGAGAACAGTAAAAAAAGTGAATGGAAGGATACACATCTCTAATAAACTACACCATCAAGAACGGATCGAGCCATTTCACTTTTTAGTTTTAAGTCTTTTAGGAAAAAAAGAACAACATATTTCTCCTTAAAGACGGAGAAAACAAGAATACCTTTTAAGAATATAACGCCACACCATCACAGCTAAATCAACTTGCTTACATGCATTTTAAGAGCTTATGAATAGCTCAAGGACAAATTAAGTCGTCTAACATGCAGTCACAGGCTACATATTTAAAGATGTTATATCACAAGCTCAAATATTATCCTCAACTCTTGAACCCTAAAAAGAAGGCCCAAGAATAGACCCAGTTTTGCCACAATTTTTAAAATCAAGACAAGTTGGTGGGATAAAAAGTGAAAGGAGAAAGAAATAGAGGAATGAAGGGGTAAGTCCTAGCATAACAGGTGGTGAGATATTTGGTCGCTTGGAAAATATAGAGCTGGAAAAATTAAATAACAAGGAGACATTTCTAGTTAGCTGTGATTTGTCATTTGAAAGTCATAGTAAGCTGACATTGTTGAAATCACATGGCTTATTTCTAGCCCCGGGTACTTAAAGCATACGAGAGATTTTAAGGCCCCGTTTGTTTTGTTTTTTTAGGATTAAGATGCTTCAATCTGAATTAGTTCTAATTATTAAGATGTTGTATCTAAATCTGAACACTGGATAATTAAAAGTCTGTTTCTCAGTATCTAAATGTGTATAATTTATCTCATTAAAAATGCTAATAAATAAAATAATAATTTATTTTGAAATAGTAAATTTATAATTAAACATTATATCCACAAAGTATTACAAAAAATATCTTAACTTGCAAGGTATTGTAAAAATTATTTGTTTGATAAGAACATTCTAAAAGCTCACGGTGATGGTGATGATCAATAGTGATGATTGTGAAGTGGTGGTAGGGGTGATTGTGGTTGGTACAAATGGCTGATCATGGTAGTTGTGCAGTGGTGGCAGGTGGTAGGTGTGTGGTTGAGATGGTGGCTAGCAGCAAAGGTTGTTACTAGTGGTGGTTGGCAGTTGTGAATATGTGGTGAAGGTTAGTGATTGTGGTGGTCGGGTGTTATTAAAAGCGCGCGCTGTGAGAAGGCACGGGAGAAAATATGTTATTGATATTGGATGATAAATACAATACAAGAGGCCCCTATTTATAGCTATACACTACAAGGAGATAAAACTCCTCTTCCAATGTAGGACAAGACTACATTATACATATCTATAAACTAACACTCTCACTCAAGCCGGTGCATACACATCATATGTACCGAGCTTGTTACACATGTAACTAATACGAGA